GCTAGCTTGTTTTTTTTTCGTTAGACGCATAACTTCAAATTTTATTGAAATTCAAAAATAAATACAAGAAACTCAAGATGAGAGATAGAAAATAATAAAAAGATCTAGAAAATAAGTAAATGAATAAATTAATACTTCCTTCATTACATTTTATGCAATCCAAACCTATTTTAATATGCTTCCAAGTTCTAAGCCAGGTTTTTATACTCTTTTACCCCAGATTCCTGACCTTCTCTCCACGTTTTCTGATTGTCCACGGAAGATACGACGAGGCAGCCGAGGTTTTGAAACACATAGCAATAACCAATAAGAAAGATGTTCCAAGTGATCTGCTAGCAAAAGTTTTGGTAAGAACGTTCAGTTATCAAACATACATTTTTTATTTAAATTTTGTTGTACAATCCAAGTTTTTTATTAGACTGCAACTGGTTATCCAAACAGGGCCTAATAAGCAGGAATTGGTATTCAAGAAATGCTGATTGGGGGTTCAATGCAGAAACATGTTAGTCTGAGCTAAATAACTTAAATTTCTTCAAAATTCCAAATATTTTTTTTTGTAACATACGCTTCTTTGTGTAAAACAAGGCTTAACCAACACGTTGCAAAACAAATCCACCAGGGTACAGGCTATAATGTGTGGTATAAGATGTGTCCTGATTTTTGGAGGCGACTGTGGAAGTGGGACCCACATAGGGGTGAGGATAGGTCGTCTATCAGTCTTAACTTTCATTCTCAAAGCCTCATATGTAAAGTGAAAAGAATAAAAGAGTAAAATATGAAAAAATTAAAATTAAATTAGAGACAAGACAACATGTAAAGAACAATATAGAAAATAGAGATAAAAAAGATAAGAGAGATAGATTCGGGTATTCAATCCCACAACATCCCAATCTACGTCACCCTTCACTGCCTGGAGACAGTTGTGGGAAGGTGGCCGCTCTCAGAAGAAGTGAAAAATTGAAGAAAGAGAAAGAAAAAGTCTCACCATTGGGCGGAGGGGGGGGGGGAGTGGAGTAACCAAACCTTACATATATATAAAGACCCCTCCATCACCCAATATAGATTGCCATTGGGGGGAGTTAGTAACCAAACTTTACCTATATATAAAGACCCCTCCATCACCCAATATAGAATGCCATTGGGGGGAGTTAGTAACCAAACTTTACCTATATATAAAGACCCCTCCATCACCCAATATAGAATGCCATTGGGGGGGGTTAGTAACCAAACTTTACCTATATATAAAGACCCCTCCA